TGAGTCCGATTCAAACTGAACGAGGGAAAATGGATCATATTTACATTATAACCGACCCTCACTGAAACTATACCCTGCCGGGCTCCTTGCGCTACCCGAGAAGACCAGGCACACATAAAGGGGAGTGTCATAGGGTTTTTTTTCGTCGGCAAAATGGTTTGTGCACGTGTTTTGATGGTGCGTGTGTTAAGTAGGCTATGTGGGCTACAGGTCTGTGAGTCTTGTTGATGTGGTGAGTCAGTCAGTTGTGTAGGCTGTAACAGCAGCAAGACACACTGAGTGTAGCAGGTTACCTGTATGAACCTTTTTATCTACAGTCTATGGTATGAACCCTACAGCTGACTGTAGACTGAAGTCTTAATGCGATGGGGACATCTTGTGGCCATTTCCAATATTGCACACATGTAGGATACTGATAATAGTTTTTAAAATGTTTTTTGTGACTAAAACGAGGTTTCAACTAATAGTTTTCTAAATATTTAATAAACGAGTAACATTTTTTATTTTTTACAACCTATTATTAAGAACAATATTTCACTTCACTTAAGTATATATTGTCATACATGGGAAATGTGGTCTGCAGCATGGCAAAAACCGAATTATTTTTTTTTTCTTTTAAAGAAGATAATATCAAAGATTAAAAGAAACGTCATTTAAAAAGAGTAACACACAACAGCAATACAACCAGTAAGAAGCAGTAAGTAAAAACAAATTAACACAGGCAAAACCAAGTAAATAAGAACAAACAATGATAAAAAAAAAAAAATAGGACAATATACAAATGAAATAGACCCTCAAATAGACCATTGGATTCTGGAAAAGAGCATACTTGAATGCAGTTGACATAACTGCAGAATGGTTTATTAGCCTTTGTTAATGTTTATATCTGCTGACATGAGGGATTATTAGAAAGTGAAAACTGATGAGGATTTATTAATGACTCATCAACAAGAGCTTTTTCACAACCTGGCAAAGGGATATGGATAGACAGTACAGGTAATAACAGTGTGAATAAGAAATAATATATGAATGTGTAATTGAAAAGTACAGGAAGAAAAAGTGAATGTGTGCGGTGTTGACTAACTATTTCATTGCTGTGTAGAGAGTCTGACAGCCATTAGAATGAAGGACCTATAAGCTTCAAAATCATGTCAGGATTATTGTACTGGAGTCAATATGGTTTTGTGTTGATATCCATTCTATGTCCACTACACTGCAACTAAACAGTTATATTTAGCTTGAAACATTTCAAAATATCCTTTTAAAAATCACCATTATCATCATCAGCATAATCTCTCTCATAACATCTTAGGGACCGAAGCGACTAGCTCAGCAACTTATACACACTGTACCAATTACCAGAGGTTAATGGGATGGCTGGCCTGTCTGGTTTCAAATGTTCCACTCAGCAGATTAATCATGGCCTTACTGGTGTAAACTGTCTTCAACTAAAATCCCAGCTGCTGTTTTCAGATGATGCTGAAGCTCTCTTTATGACTTAATGGAGGCCCTGGCCACAAATCCAAGACTCCCTGAATAATAAACCAGTGAAGACTGTTGCTAAAAACATGTACAATCTCCCATCCACATTCTAGCCTCAGTGCTACTGCAGGGGGCACACAACTTTTGGTGTAGGGGACCCGTTTCCAGGCCAGGGACCTGTATCTGCGACCTGATGGAAGCAGTGTGAAGAAGGGGTTGAGAGGGTGACTTGGGGTCATGTGCCATAGTATGTGCTTTGCGTTTGGTGGCTTTAACGTTGAGAACTGATAGGTTGGGGATGGGAAGGCCAATCATTTTTGATGTGATGTAAATTACTTTGTTCCTATTGATGGCAGTTAACATAATAAAGAAACAGAGGGAACAGTGGAGGAGAATGGGTTGGAGTATGCTCTTGTACAGTAGTAGCAGGTGACAGGGGGCAACAGAGAGAGTGCTTTAAGTTTTCAGATGGCAGAGTCTCTGTTGACAACGTTTATGGATGTCAGTGGTGCGTTGATTAAAATTTAGTTTGTCTGATCCTTGACTTAATTCAAAGTCCTACTTTGTTCTGGTCAAACACTTTGATCCAGAGTGAGACATCTTAACAGCATGGCCCAAGTGGGTTGGCTGGGTTTGTGGTCCCCTGACATTTCGTTAAAGAGGTAAAACCCCCAAACATTTCAGTTCACGGCATGATTCACTTCTAAAAATTATGGGCCGGTCGTACTGCTAGCTGTACTAGCGTTAGCATGCTAGCACGCTAACAGTTTGTAGCGGTCATAACACTTGTGATACTAACTTTAGCTGTTTTGAAAATGTAACAGTAGTTGTTGTAAAACAATGTAAAACCATCCGGGTAAATGTTGTTATTTTGGCCATATAAACTAAAATTACTCAACTGAACACCAACTAACATGCTAAAGTTACATACTAAAAACTAACGTTGGCACATTAGCTAGCTAATTTGAGTTGGGGGGGGTGTCATGGGAAAGGATTTCTCAAGCAAAGGAACAACCTCTGGTGTAGATATTGGAACAGATGTAGCTTATCCAGGCATCTAATTGAATCACCAGCTAAGGTGTTAGAGGCTAATAGCCTTTTAGCTATTTACTACATGTCATTGAATATTCAGGTAGCTATCATATGCCTCCAATAAGATTTGTTTTACAACCTGCTACACAGCATTTTGGCATTTTCCTGTTTCTCCTAATTTAAAAGGGGAATTCTTCCCCCAAAATTGGATGCGGCCCTGGTGCTTGATGAAGTGATGCCCGTCTGACATTATCACACAGGTGCATTGGGGGGAAGAAGGCAAGGCAAGTTTCATTTGTATAGCACATTTCAACAACAAGGTAATTCAAAGTGCTTTACATAAAACAAAAGCAACAGGGAAATATAAAGAAGTTTAATAGAAGTTAAATAGAAAATAAAATATATACTCCTTTGATTCCCCATCTCCCACTCTATCCCCACTTTAGTTACGGGACTCTAAGGGACTCTAACCCTATAACACATAGGGACTCTAACCCTTGTTTAGATACAGTTGTCACTGTAAATCCAGATTGTCCACGCTACAAAGTCTGGTAAAAGTGGCTGACAGCGTGACCCTGTCAACAAGTTACTTAGGGACTCTAACCCTATAACACATGGAGACTCTAACCCTTCGTTAGATACAGTCTTCACTGTAAATCCAGATTGTCCACGCTACAAACTCTGGTACAAGTGGTTGACCGCGGGCCCTGTCAACAAGTTAACAGCGGAGAAAACAGGGACTACTCGGCCCTGTTAACTGAGGATCGTCGTGTGAGATGGTAGAATCAAAAGAGCGCTCTAAGCTTTTTAAATACTGTTAAAATCTAAAAACAAAGACAAAGAAAACAGGACAGTAAAATTTACAGAAGGATAGAAGAGCCCTTAAATTATGGCAAGGCACCCTTATATTAACCCTAGTACATTTAAATTACCTCACATAAAAGACTGGATACTGTAAAATACGTGTGTTGAGTTTTTTCTTTTAATATACAGTCTATGGATTTCACCTGTTTTTCCAGACCTGAAGTAGCCTACATGTTTATCCCTCTAGGGGGAGCTCGAGTACAGCTAAACAAGCACAGCCTTGTTGTAACTGAGTGTTGGAGGTTTGACGTGTTTATTTATCTTAGGATGTTCACTTATACTCAACAATTAAAATTAAATTAAAGTACCACTACATATAATACCATATTTTTCACAAACCAAGAGATTAACTAACTGATATTTAGAACATATCAGAGGACAGAGGCACATTTGGGGTTGCAAGCTTTTTCAAACTATCACCCAGAGCTGGTAAAGTTGTCAGAAAATAGCAGGAGATAAATACCAAGTGTCTCAACTGATTGCATCAGTTAGGCTGATGATGTCACATGCCTAAAATGTTTATAAGACTGCCTTTGTTTTGGGGGTACTCCAGTCCTTAAAGACATGATTTTATGGTTGCTGTGCATAAACTGTGTATTTACCGTTTATTCCTCTTTGATTTTATATTTGGTTTCTTTACATATTTTATCTACATATGTGCGACATATGGGCGCATTTTTGGTAGGCTATTATTGTATAAATGCAATGTATGTTGTCAGTCAAGCACCAGTTTGTTTTTCATTTGTGATACCACATGCACTGGATTCCATCCATTAGGATATTAGATTAGTTTACCACACGTAAATATTGGACTGACCATTAGCCTCTGTAATAGTAGAACAGTTGTTTTGTTGGTTTTAAATTGAGATCCGAACTGCATGTTTTGTCCACTAGGGGGAGCTCGAGTAGCTTAGACTAAAGCTAAAGCTCCACTGCTTTGTTGTAATTGAGGTACTCCTTGTTTATTTACGATATCAGGTTATCAAATGATGAACCGGCAGCTTTAAATAAAACACATCCACTTCATCATAATGAAATAATGTTGTTTTTATTGCTCTTATGACACTGAGCCTGTTTTTAAAAAACAAACTCTTATAGCCATGTGGGGACAAAATGATTTAACATGGCTGTTTCTTTTTGTCATTTGCTTTATCATGTATTTTTTCTATGTGCAGCCAATAACAGAAGAAAGATTTTGTTTTTACTTGTCATATAGTCCGGTATCCTAAATTATAGCCTAGGGAGTATTGTACATCAGCATATTATTACATCATAGTTATGATATTATGGTCTCGATGGTATTGATATCACTTTTATTTATTATTATGGGTACGATTATTGCTACTGTTAGTAGTATTATAATTACTATGCCTAGATTATCTGTAGAAGGAGTCTAGTAATAGGCGTGCTGTTGTATTGACATGCAGAAATCATGCATTTTTTGCAGGTTTCTCATGCGTTGGGAGCAAAGCAATCAGCAGTCGGCTCTTTGTTCCGAGAGCAGATTCAGCGTGTGTGTGTGTGTGTGTGTGTGTGTGTGTGTGAGACAGAGAGAGAGAGAAAGGGGTTGTCTTTGGGATACAGCAGAGTCAGTGAGGAGGAGAGAGAGAGCGGGATGCTGACAGATTCCTGATAGATGGTTAAAATGGCGAAAGCTTGTTCAACCCCAGCGAGCCACCAAACTAGCACTGTAGTTCGGAACATGTAGTAACTGGATATCTGTATATGTGTGTGTGTTGTTGTTGTTTTTTACCCCAGTCTATTCACCTCACGTCGCTTTCTGAGAGTGCAGGAATATTTTGTGCATAAGTGTTTAAATGGCATCCACAAGGCGCCGCCGCCTTGTTCCGTGCTTTTTGGGAATACTCCTGAATGCTTTAATCGGTAAGTGGCATTATCTTATTACCGCAGTAGCGAGTAGTGCTGCATGGTGTGTGTTAGCTTTGTAGAGCTTTGTAGAGGGCAACCACTGTTAGTCTGCTGCTCTCCGGAGCATGGTGCATGCTGCAAGCTGCAATAAGTGCGCTGTTGACCACTAACCTTGAACTTGGCCCCTCTCCGGTGTCCGTTATTTCGGTAGTAAATGCCAGTGTGGAAAGTACTGAGCAACATGTGGACCCATATGTTTAAACTTATATTTTGTACATTCTTCAGAACATGCACAACATGTTCAAATCTAGATGGCTTTTGAGGTCTTGGATTTCCAGGTGGCACCATAATAAAACACAGTAGCCACGTGCAATGCAGTTAGGAGAATTGCTGGATTGCTTTCATATTTATTTTGATAACACTATCAGTAGAGTGTAAAGAATGTCCTGCTGAAAGGTGCCCAATCGGTGCAATGAGAAAGTCACATTCTTGTGTTACTATAGCTGTTAATTGTGTGGAACACTTACTGTTCCTGTCTGTTATCAGAAATGGTTTTCTCCTCATTACTGCCTTATAGTCAGGCCTCAGTAATAGTATAGGGCGGCAGAGTTAGAACCTATTCACATGGTCTCTATCCTGTCCTTGCAATGAGTTGCACGTTTTTTTCCAAAGCTGATAGCTAACAGTGTGAAGTCCTCAAATAAACTCAAGGCATACTTTTTCTTGCATATTTAATAAAGATTAAGAATCACATTCTGTAAAACTGTAGCAAAAACACAAATGATAAACAGGAATTAGAATATATTTAGATACTTAGAATATATTAGAATATGACACAACAATATTACAAATTCAGCACTAAGTGGAGAATTAGGACCAAATGCTTTGTGAAACTTTATTAAACCACACATTGTAGTTGCACTGTTTACCTCCACAAGCTAACTTTTGGCATGCTAGATTAGTTTCATTTCATATTAGGGGACCTCTGAAGTAGATGGAGTTCTTGACTGGCCCGTCCTTACAGCACCCTTTGGCTGGGTGAAGTGACACTGGTTATTGCTCTGAGGATAGATTAAAAGGCTGTGGGTATTGCCTGCTGGGGAGAATATTTGTACAGATTAAATGTCAAGACTGTCCCACTCCTCCTTTTCAAATTTTCTTTTTTTGGCCCTTTGTATACTATGATAGACAGTTTCTCTCTCTATGTGAGGCCTCTTAATTCAAAGGCAGGAGAGAGAATTGAGTATTTGCAAAGCATACCACACAGGGACCCACAAAGGCCCCCACTGGAACTATAAAGGCTAGTACACAGAGGCTCATAACATGTTCATTCAGAGTACTGGGAACAAAAACGTCAGAAACACAGCTCTGTGATGGATGTAGTTCCAATCTATCCATCGTATTAAAGAAATTAAGCTCTTTCAAGTGCTGCCTCAGAGATTAGATTCAGTTTAGATGAAGGCGCCTTTTTATGACATTTTATGCAGAGTTGATAAGAGTGAAGGAAGCAGTAAGATGAATATCTGCATTCGATTTATTAAGGCCTGAAGAGCTCAAACTCTGAGGTAGAACGCAATAGGTCATTCAGAAGCTTTCACGATCCAACGTTAGCTTCTCAAAGGGTAATTGTTTGCTTTGAGCTGAGTTAGATTATGTCTTTCAAGTTTCACATAAAGGACAGGATGAATGTTTTAAATCAGTAGTATCTAGGAGAAAGTCCTGAAAACTTTCACTTTACTTCATAAGTTTTTACGTTCCTGCTGACTAAAGTATCTCATAAACTCATTTGTTTAAATCTAAAGGCACCAGAATGCATTCGATTTATCACTTTGAGGGTCATAGAACAATACTACAGGTGAATACTTCTGTGAGGGAAGATTGGACAGTACTGAGGAGAAAATGGATGAGAGAGGTGAAATGTGCAACAGCTGGTCAACATCTATCATGCCAACACATGGACTATTTCTCAGCATTCTTGTGCGGCATTTTAAAACTGTATTGCTGCCATTTCTTTGTAATCATCCCTCAGCTGCTGTAATTATAACGGGTGGATACCAGGACACTTGAAACTACATTCTCATGAGTATTGCGGTGGCTAGAAAAGAAAAATATTGATTAATAATTGATCAAGTAGAAGCCTATAGAAGGGAATATAAATATCAATGCTGCATGCGTAGTCTCCCCCCTGGAAATAGAATAAATATTGCTTTTATAGCCAGACACTATGTAAAGTTTTTAGTAGTTAATTTACACCAGTGACTTTCTGGTGTTTCATCCGTCCGTGATCTCAATGCAAATACATGACTTGTGCTATGCATGCTCGAAGACACCTTTAAAGGGACACTGAATATCTTTGTAAGTCCATTCCTATTTAATACTCACCACTAAAGTGGGATATAAGTGCCATGCATCATTTTCTTTAAAGTGGAAATGCCACAGTGCAGTGAAACAAATAGAGGATAAATTCACAGTTGTTGTCCTGTGTGCAAAACATTATTCCACATTTCAAACAAACCTAACACGATGCTGCAGCACTCTGTCACAGCAAAATTGACTGGTGATTTAGGAAAAAATATGTTGGTGGTGAATAAGAATGGATTGCCAATAAGCTGCAACAGATGGATGCTAAGAGAGAAAACAAGTGATTTGGCAATGAAAACTACTCTAAATCTGTAACTCTGGGCCTTTCTGTTAACAAGGTCACATTAAATGCATTATAGAATAAATAGGATACTAATGCTTATACTAAATCTCATAAATTCCAAAGTATTTTTTTCTATCCTAATTTCCTATCATATGATATGATGCCAAATTGTTGTGTTGCTCACGCTGCTGCCTGGGAAAATCCTATAGTGTGTGCATGCCTGAGCTCACTTAGCTATATTAGTGAGTGCTTGTGTCTGCTAACTACATCTGTCTGGCCAGAGCTGGTGTATGATCCTCACTTTACTGTTGCAGCAGTAAACCTTGTGCCAGCCAGCCACACTTATCTGTCAATAGTAAGCCAGAGCATGAGCCACACTTAGCCAACACTTCTCTGGTCTCACCCAGTAATCCTACATGCTAGTGTCTCTTTACTTTGCATGGAAAGTGCATTAGGGTGTGTGTGTGTGTGTGTGTGTGTGTGTATGTGTATGTGTCTGCCAGTCTGTCTCCTTATCTAACCATGAAAATCCATGCATAGATTCATGTCTGTCAACGCGTTCATGCAGCTGTGGCCTCCTTTCTGCACACCGTCTGGATGCTCAGCCTTCACAGATAACCTTAAAGTAATCCACCAAAAGTGGAAAATTCGGCTTTCCCTTGTTTCTCTTCACCTCTTATCTGCTTTATCTCATTTGGACCTGTGCTATGATTCAGTGTTGTCTTTAAATTGATTTTCTCTGAACTTTTTCTCACCGTTGTTTGTAACCTTCCACCCACCCAGAGCTCAGGATTGCACCAGCCAGTCACTAGCACTAGCCACTCTAGCAACATGCCTTATTCATAAGGAAATCCCAAGAACCTTCACATTGTTTTGCTAGTGGAAGAAACTCTGATTAATTGAAGTCACAAGGAAGTATATACAACATCAATGAAGCTGTTTAATCAACTCCAAATCAATGGCGTTGTAACACAGTGAACACTGAACTGTGATTATCCTGTTTGCTGCTAGACTTGATAACACTGACCAATGTAATTTGACATCTTAAAGCTGAAATAAAAAGCCTCCAATATATTTCATCAATCTCATATCAATCTACACAGAGGAAGGTTGAGTATAACACTTTCATATGTTTTACATCCTCAAACATTACTCTGAGAATGATCCATGTTTTGATCAAAGCGTGAAGTGTGACTGACTGGATGTGTGGCTGCAGGCTCTTTGTATGCTATTTTTTTCTCTGCTGGCTGCTTCCTGTGTGAAAACATGAGATCGGGCTTGGACCAAAGGAGATGGAACTCTGTGGGTAGCATCATTTTGGAGACCAGCAGCCCAGGCAGCGGGATCCAGCTAACCCGGGCCAGCTAAGGGTTAAATATTTCTCCACCACCACCACCACCCCCTTGTTTTTCACCAGTGGTAACACTGATGTCTCTCTGGTCCCATGGCCATTTCCTTACAGTTCTTGTTGAGTGAAAAAAGGAGGAGGGGGACACATAAAGAAAGGCTGCAGAGCATGAAGAGAGGAAGAGGAAATGCTTCTTTGCATTATACTTCACATGTGATCTTCATGGAGGAGTATGTCAATGAATTCCTTGTCTGCACCTAAGAAGAAGTATTATTGGACTGGAATTTGAGGGATGAAGCCGGAGGTTCTCTGTTTTGACCCTTGTGCTTTGCCACCCCCCTCCCCTGCCCTCCCTTAGCCCCCCTTCCACCAGATTCCAGGGCCTGAGGCAGAGACTGGTAGTGCTTAGTCCATCAGCAGCTGAAACATGATACCAAGAGAGCCTGCTAAGCTCCTCTTTTATAGTACCAAGTCAGGTCAGGCTGTTTACATCCTTTATTTATTATTCTCCCATTCCCCCCTCTTTCCCCCCAGAAACCGCAAATACAAAAGTCTGATCTCTTCACCCCATTATAAAACATAAAGCATCACTACAAACATATATAACTGGCCTTGCACTTTTAATCAGAGTATCATTTTGTGTTGTGTGGTTAAAAAGCAGTTATCACAGTGACAAAATGTCTGCAAAAGGTTAGCTGGTACAAGGCCATGTTGTGTGTTTATACTGTACAAGAGTATACATGCTCTGTGTGCATTTAATCCATAGCCTATGAATTCCCTTGTGACTGTAGCCTGGAGGTAGCTCAGTCAAAGCTTTTTATTCATGAGCTGTAAGGCCCAACGAGCTACTGTCAGCAATATGACACAAGGAGCATTCTTCCTGTTTAGGTGTGAAGGTTGATCTGAAAATGATCATTTAGGCCTGTTGCAGTCACTCATGACTCTGGATAGTAATAAGTAGGTATGGAAAAGGAATAAATGGATGAGAACAGCTTCAATAACTAGTCAGATAATAGGATAAATTAAATTAACAAAATGTTATAAGTCAAATAATCAGTGCAAGCAAAATAAAAAAAAAATGTAAACAGCATTTGTAAAATGTATTATTTTAACTCCCTAGCTGCATGAAGGCAAAGCCCAGTCACCTCTTCAACACAGCACACTATACCTGGAGTCTTAAGGAGAACAAATAGAGAGATCTCATAAACCCTATTTTAGCTTCTTTTTGTTTGCCTCCAGTTGTTTTTTGAATTGTTTTGAAGATTTTACTCATTGCTTTTAAAGCACTCCATTTTATGGCCCCTGCATACATTTGTGAGCTTTTGTCCCCATATATACAGTACCTGCACTCAACCTCAGATCCTGCAATAAAAATCCTGTGGTCTAAACTTTAAACTAAGGGTGACTGTGCATTTTCTGTCTTTGTGTTGACATTTAGAGGAACTGTGGGTGACACAAGCATGGTTAATATAGCATCAACTATAACGTTTGAATGCACTGGGCTCATGGTTCCCTCTCTGGTTTTAGAGACAAAGTGTGATATAGTTACAGAGTGTGTTTGCAATCTCCTATGCTTGTGCAATGTGTTTTTTGACAAAGGAGCATAATTTGATATAGAGAAATGCTTTACTCAACTGTTTGGAATGAGATCATGTGAGATGTCTCAGGAGAGCTAGCGCATGCTGTATTATATAATTGGAGACAGATTTATAAATTTGTATAGTTATCTTTATGTAGCTATTTTGGGAAGAGGAGCATTTATTGGATGGTGGTAACAGTGTAGAGAGATGACAGGAAATGAGGGTGAGACAGGGAGTTGGGCAACAAGTCCCCAGCCAGACTGGAACTGGGATGTTGCGGTTCATGGCGGGCATCTTAAACATTAAATCTTTTGACTGTGACAACTGTGCAAACTCCATCTGCTGAGGAAAACTATGAGATGAAAAATCTAGTTAGTGTTTACAAGGTCAAGAATCAACTTTGACGCTGAACTTTATATAAATATTTTATATATTTGTGTGTGTGCCTGTGTTTCCAGGTGTGATGAGCGAAGCGGAGCTGTCCTTCACACTGGAGCCCAGTGACATCATTGCTGTACAGGAGCAGCCCCTCATGCTCCACTGCCAGGTGGACGGAATTCCCCCAATTACGACACAGTGGAGACACAACGGCATGCTTTTAACTCAGGATCAGCATCACACCACCTTCATCAATGGCTCCCTCCTCATTGGTCACTTCCAGAAGACCAAATCTGATGGCTCATCTGACGAGGGCGACTACGAGTGCATGGCCCAGAATTATTTTGGGCTGGTGGTGAGCCGCAAGGCCCGTATTCAGGCAGCAAGTAAGTCTCTTCTTCTGTCTTAGAGCGATGCACTTGTAAGGCATTCTATATAATTAGTGTGATGACATGCATTCACTGGGAAAAATAAGCTTCTTTGTCAAGAGTTAAAGTAGATGAGAAGACAACCTGTTAGCCTACTGTAGCATAAAGTATAGATAGCCTTTAAATATTTATCAAGGAAAAGCCATTTGGGAAAGCTGTCATTCACAGTGCATACCCTACAAATACATAATTAAAAAACATTTTACACAAAAATAAATACAATGCAAACACAAGACAATTGACTTATCAATTAAAAACACAAAGAAAAGGACCATAAAACAAGTATATTGTAAAAAACAAACAAAAAAACAAAAAAACAGCATTCATTATATAAAACATCTCTCAACAGACAGCTTATTCCTCCTATGAGGAGTGTAAAAGGTGAAGCAGTTTTTCTCCATTTCATATTCATTAATCCAAGGTAATGCATTGTGGAACGAGTACAGTATCCCATATTACTAAGTCTTAAAAGTGATGATAAATCAAATGATAGCTTATTAAGGATGGGCTTTGTCCATAAAAAAGACAGTGGTGTTCCCTTCAAGTGGTAAGTGATGGCCACCCTACCTTCTCATAGAGGATACAATGATGGGTTCTAAAACTGTCACTTGTAATAAATCTTACAAGAACTGTGATCAAGAGCGTGAGGGTATGGGCAGCAGCATGTATGTAAATTACATCTGCATAGTCAAGCACTGATAAAAATGTTGCCTTTTCCAAGAATGGAAGTAGGGGGAAACAGCTAGCCTGGTTCTGTCCAAAGGTAACAAAATACGCCTGGAGTCTCTGCTGGTTGTTTGGCAACCACAGTGACAACGCGTTCAGGAAGTCACTGTGACCAGCCAAGAAATAATCGGACACATAACCCCCGGTAAAACCAAAATATAATGTTGTATACTTTTTGTACAGATTAAACAAACGAGATAATTCATGTTAATTAGTGAGCATGCTGGTAGGCAGACTGAGTTACCTTTGTGCAGAGCCAGACTAGCTGTTTCCAGTCTTGCAAAGATAAGTTAACCAGCTGCTGGCTGCAATTTTATATTCAACGTACACACATGAGAGTGGTATCGATCATCTCATCTTACAACCAACATGGTGGCGTGCAATCTGGAAGCCAACCTGTAATTGGCTTCGGTTTTGATATTGTTGTTTTCAGTTGTTATCCTAAGTTATCCTTAGTTGTTATCTGGTTTTATCATCTTAAATGATCGTATTATCTTGATACCAACTCAATAGTTTGTCTGGGCTTAATTGTGTTGTCATGATGCCAAGTGCCAGAATAATAAATAATGATTGAGCGATGCAGATATGCAACCAGAGCCACTTAAGTTTGATTAAGTTGTGATCTGTGTTTCCTACAAATGTAAACAATGTAATTGAAATATCGCCGTAAGTAATCACATTTCAGTCCCAGTCATCGGGGTATTGTTACACTGGAAATGTACTTAATATATGCAGCAGTGGAATCATTTAAATATTTTAATATCATTGTTTGAGTGCTATGAACTTTCTGATGTTCATCTACAGTGCTGCTTAGAAATGAAAGCCTTTGAGTTTAGCATTAACAAGCGCTCAAGCTGCTTTGTAAGAGTGCAATAAGCTCGAAGCAACCCGGCCGCCCACTCACTGGTAGAGGCATCAAGATTAATTTTCTCTGGTTTGACCACTAAATCTCTTATTTGAAGTTGCTTTAGTTCATTAAGTTCAGCATTGTTGCTGTGGTTCATTTACAACATTTTTATCATATCATTGTAAGACAATTTGACTCTCTATACATCCCTCTTCTCTTTTCTCTCACACACATACAGTGCGTGTCTCAACTTACTTTTAAAGGCATTAAGGATGTTCACATTCCTCTGTGAACACGCTGAGATGTTGCAGTAGCAGCAGCAGCAGTAGCTTAGTGATACTGTACTGTTCCACACTGTGCTGAGTTAAGACTTTTTGAATGCTCTGTTATATAAATTCTGTAACACAGAGATGAACAAAGGTTTGCTGAAGCCTGTTGATTCCCGGGCTGTGTGTAGACAGCATACTGCTGTGCTGTTGTGGCCAATACAGCTTTTCCACTCAGTGGGATAGGGAGGTTAGCATGGATGTCTCACTGACCGAAGGGAAAAGTCACTTTAGCTCACTGGCTGGCACTGTCAAACACATGCAACCTTTTATTACCTCCCCAAAGGGTCTTTCTCTTCAAAGGTCAGACTGTAGCTGCCTTTGTAGCACATTTCCTTTTCTGCATCAGGGGAAAGTCATCAATACGGTCCCCCTATTTTTGTTTTATTTCACATAATTACCTTGACATAGTTGTAAGAAAAATGAAAATCTATAGGTGTATGAACACACTGAACAGGGTGCAGAGAAAACGATAGAATTATCCTGATGATTGGTACTGCAGCAATGTATAGTACATTATTTATACCTTCAATAACTGATGAAAGTTATTATTAGTTATTATTGCTCACTAGACTTGGTAGAATCATTTTGATTGTCTGCTAGATCAGTAGACCATAGAGGTGCAATCATAAGATGGTGTACACTCAGAAATGCAAGTAAACACTGACCTCAAAGTTATCTATTTAATGTGTTTCTCCATTAGTGTGGGGAAACTGCTGAATATTTCAGCGAGAATAGAGCAGTGCAGTGAGAGTATGTCATAGTAATGATAAAAGTGGTGATCTGTAAAGTACAGCGTTACAGTTGTGATGCAGTGGAGTCATCCAGCAATCCAGTCCTCTCCTTATGTAGCCAAACACAAACCATGCAACACTGTCCCTCACTAATCTGTTCTACCAACCACTGACATTTCTCGTAATGGTTGCAAATGATGACAGTGTTAATCATCATGTTAATGTGTTGCACTGTGATGTCAAATTGTGCCTCACAAATTAATCTTTGTAATATTTAGCAAATTCATTTTTTTAATTCAAAGGTTCAAAAATGTGTGAGCATGAAAAATGAAGTATGCAATACTCAGTCACTCGTCTGTTTCTGAAAGACTGAATATGCAATGTGATGTGAATGAACCTGACCTGGAGCACACATCAAGTTCATGGAGGAAATATTATGTTTTAGCCACTCTTCTGACCTTTTCCAGCTTTTCCTTTTGACTTGTATTGATTAGGAAGGAACTGACGGATTACTAAAAGTCACATTCTGAACCTTGACCTCTGACCTTTTGGGGTTATGTTGAGCAGTCTTTTGGCAAGGCACTAAATGAGTAAAGGCTCTGCTATAATGATGGCCCTCCTTGATAGAGTCTCACTTCTATCAAGGCAGCAAAAAGCCATCCCTGTGAAATAATTCTCCAGAGACCCTTCAAAGGGACTCACAAGATAATTACTTTTGACTGAACAATGTTCCCATGTTAGCCATCATAGCCCACTTTGCAATAACAGTAATGTTGGTATTTCATTGTGAACACTGTTTTTCATTGTTTTGTAGTCTATAAATGTGCCCAAATTATTTTAGAATCAGATTAAAGAGGCTTTTACATTCAGAATAATTTTAACTATCCTCCAGCTTCTTGCACCTCAGCCTCCAGGTTCATGCAGGTGTCGGTTCAGTAGAAAGCACTCCCCGGTTGATAAAGCATCAATTAGTCAAGCTGTTAAATTTTAGGTCTTCAAAATGAGGTCTTAAAAGAGCTTAATCTTTGAGGTGAAGTATATTCTGCAGAGGTTTGGACAATCACTGGTCCATTCCAGCCTCTCCTGGCCCACCAGAGTTCTGCACTGGGCAAAAATACTTTCTTTTTCTGTTCCTAGTGTTTGTTAATGTTGATGTTCTCTCTGTGTTTTTGAGGTAATTTGCTGTGTTATAGTCCCTCTTACAACAGAGCTCTGACTTGTACCACTGTGATGCAATGGGTGGTGTGATTACTGAAGCCTCTTTATGGGCCCTCCCAGTGGATAAAGCCTCCATCTTACCCTCCACACTACCTCCCTCCATAAATTTCACTTTTTATTTGCTTGACAACCATTTGTGTGAGCACACTGTCGGGGGCTGGTGTAGGACGGACTCCCCGTTGCCCCTCTAAATCGGCAGTCGGTCTAGGAAACTCTTTTTTTCCTCCTAAATGTTATCTCTTTGATGGTCGGTTTCTCTCCATCCGGCTCTCTCTCTCTCTCTTTCCTCAATTTCTCTAGGACCTCCTCATTAGCTTACGTTCAGGAAGCTTTTCATCATTTGGATGAATGACAAGCCTGGTACAGTGGACCCAGCCAGGGCTCCTGCCCCTCCCCCACAGCACACCCACGTCACCAGGCAACACACCACAAAAGCCCCCCTGTTACAAAATAGCTTTTACGATCAATTGAAATGACTTGCTTTTGTCTGTTTGTCTGGAATTAATTGGAAAGAGTTGAAGCTTTGTTAGAAAATAATTTTTCCCCCCAGTCCAATTCATATTGGGAGACTGCAATTGACCTCAGGGACCATTCGAAAAGATTTGCAAACACTATACAATATGAAGTGTGCTGAGAAAAGACAGCACAGTCAGTGCAAACATAAGGAGAGTGAAAACACAAATTGTAAAACAAAAAATGCAATAAATGCAAGTATAATAATTGTATTATGCTTGCATTTATTTTATGGACTACTTCAGTATAGACAAAGAGCCCTTGGCTGCTGGATGATAATTTCCACCTTGTTTGATTCTGAGATCGTCATGGTGAATTGTACTGCCATTATAATGGTAGGCTTCTGAATGAGACTTTAATGAAAAAGAGGAACCCAGGGGGCTGTTAAGGACGAAACAGGAGAAGACAGAGGATGCCTGTAAAAGTGTCTCAGTTTATACCCATCCCTCTCATTCGTGTAAATTTAACTCCTTTCTGGGGTGGAAATGTAAACACCTGTGATGTCGAGCAGGCAGAGTCCGAAAGAAACTAAATATACAGCTGTGGCAGGACAGGAGAGGTTGCAACATGCTAAATGTAAAAGCTGTGTGAATG